CACGAGGATCCACATCATTTCCCACAGACAAGTCTTCAGAGGCAGTCATTTGGGACAGTTCTGTGCTAGTCTCAGCCTCTTACTTGAGAGTGGCACCACACGCGTGTCTGAGTCCAAGGCCATGCCCCTGCCCAAGCAGCAGAGTTGGGGCCTGGACTGGGCACTTGGCTTTCATGTCGACTTCCTCCTTGCGTTGAAGCCTCCGCTTAGTTGGCTCTGCCCAGAGCTGCCACCCTCCTGGACTCAGCCCCTCCAGGCACCCTGCAAATGGAACTGGGTACCCACTGGCCCTCCCCTCTCTCAGGCACAGTCGCAAAAAGTCCCTGACCTCCCCAGGGGACTCTCCCGAGGAGAACATGCGCTGGCCTCTGCTTTCTCCCCGATGGGTTTAGGAGTGACCCAGCTCAGGTGCCCTGGGCAAGGAGGCAGCACCTGGGGGCCTTTTCCTCAGAGTCACCTGAGCAGGACATGTCTGCCCTGTGTGCCCATGTGACTTTTGCCCAAGGGGCAATGTTCCTGGCACCTCTGCCCTGGGGCAGGAGCCGTACACCACACAACTGCTGTCAGCTGCACCCAGCTTCTCTCGGGTGTGGATGTGAGCAGGAGGTGTGAGCCCCAGCCTCTCCCCGCAGATCTGCCAAACCCTCTTCACAGCCTCCCTCACGCCAGCCCTTTCTTCCTTTCTTCTAATGGTTTAGCAGAAATTTATTTTAGTTACAACAGCTAATTTTTTTTTCCCGGTCAGCCAGGCTCACCTACATCAACACACCTACAGCTCAACAAACCTCTGTGCTGGTTGACTTTGTAGTGCCCGCACGGTGTAGTTATTGTTACGATTCTGAGCCCCAGGCCTCTAGTGTCCTTTACTGTGGAAATAGCTTTCGGGCGGTTATTTCTGCCCCCAGCTGCCCTCCAGGCAGGTCTGGCCTACCTGCCCACAGCCACACAGGCCTGGGGCCTTGAACCCTCCATCTTAACAGGCATCTAGTCTATGTCCTGCATCTCCCTCCCCCTCCCCTTCCCCCCACCTCACACCTGGTTCAAACCCTGCAACATGGTGGCGACATTTACATGGCCCTGTAAAGACGCTAAAACCCACTGAATTGTACACTCTTCAGATAGGATCACATACACGGGGTGCTTTCTGGGACACGTCTGCTCGGAGGAGATGGGCTCTGCAGTGGTATTTTGTACGCTTCCCTGAGTGAGCTATGCCGTTAGGTGCCAGCAACCCAGAGCCCCCCTGTGCACAACCGAGCGAAGCACTGCCTGGTCCTGCACCGTCCCCACAGGTGTTCCTGTGCCCGAGCCCATGTTAAAGCATCTCAACAGAGGCCTTGCTCCATCACCGCCCCTTCACTCTGCATGCCCAAAGCACGTTAGGCGAAGTCTCCCCATCCTTGCCTCTGAGGAGCACTCCGAGCGTGCTTCTCCCCCGACGGATTGTCTTGTCTTTTTAACCGACCATGGGGCTTTCAATATTGCGCCCCGGCACCCCATTTCAATGCACCCGTCTTCCCGCTTCACCGTCCAGCGTACACATGCAGGCGAGGCTGCTGCACATGTGTTTGACTCCACAGCATAGAAGGGGGCGAAGGAAGCGGGCTGAGAACATGGCGCAGGAACGGTGGCCTCAGTGGAAGGAAGCAGAGGCTTCTATCCTACTCCGACTGAGTCAGCACGCTGCTGAAACCCTGCAAAGTCATGTGCGTTCCTGCAGCTGCGCGGGGCTGGCAAGGACTGCCGTTCAGTCAGACTTGTGAGCCCAGTTAACCGTTCCATCTTCTTCTCCAGCAGCCCCGCCACGCCGTTCCTTCCGCTCTGCGCTGTTCCCTGAACCCACCACGAGAGATGAACGAGGACCATTTCTGGGGGTGGTGGGATCCTCAAAGCTCAGGCCCAGAGCCTGTCTATCAGGGGTGATGGGATCCGCCGCCACTCTCTAAAGCAGCGGTTCTCAACCTGTGGGTCGCAACACCTTAGGGGTCGAACCACCCTTTCACAGGGGTGGCCCGATTCATAACAGTAGCAAAATTACAGTTATGAAGAAGCAAAGACAATAATGTATGGTTGGGGGGTCACCACAACATGAGGAACAGATTAAAGGGTCGCGGCATTAAGAAGGTTGAGAACCACTGCTCTAAAGAGAGCATGGGGCCTGTCAGTGGACCTGGCTGAGCTGGCCTGCTCAGAAACATGCAGATGTGGGGGTGGGGTGGGGCGGAGCAAAGGGAAGTTCAAGGGCACAGCTACAAGGAGGCCTAGGATGAGAGGACAGAAAGCTGGTCACAGGAATGCTAGGCCACGAGGCAGAGCCCAGAGGGGCCAAAGTAAAGGGGAGAGAAGAGGGGAGATGTCCGGGGGACAGCGGGGAAGGAGGCAGGAAGCAGCAGGCTGTGAGATCCGAGCCTGGAAGATGGGTACCACGTGCAGAGTGCCTAGCTAGGTTCCAGTGGGAGCAATTTTATCAATAGCACTTTACCCTACAAGTGATTCTCATCACAGCTGGTGCTGGGTGTGTTGGGAGCAGCAGTAAAAACAAACAAACAAACGTTTTATTGCAGGAAAAAAAAAACATCCAGGTGATTTGCAAACCCTGCACACACATGCCACCGATGATCTGATGGCAGCAGCCCAGTGGGCATAGCTGGCAGGGACTTGGAGATATGGCCCAGCATGGCACCAGGGGAGAGACTGCCTGCCCCCACCACATCTACACATGGGTACACACAGCAGCACACACGCACACACACATCCACGGACAAGTGCACACATGTGCACTGAGTTAGAGCACTATGCCTGGTGGTTGGGTCTCTGCAGAAAGGGGCTGCTGGCATAGATTATGGGGGTGACCTGGCTGGCTGGGTGGAAAATCTGTACTCCTGGCTGGACTCGGGGCCAGGCAGGGAGAGGACATTTCCTGAGCTGCTACGGGGGCCCACAGGGCTCACTAGGAACTTCCCCACCTGGATCTCATGTCCTAAGAGGTGCCCTTGGGTCTTGACAGGGCTTGTCTGGCACACACAACCGCAGGGAATCAGGCCACAAGTCACAGAGGCTAGAGAAGCCTGCGTGGATTAGAGACAGTCCAGGGAGCCTAAGGAGCCAGAAGTCACATTGCAAGCATCACTGAGGAGAGGACCTCTGCAGGGAGCTTAGGGACCTGGGCCTCCTGGAGCTCCAGGGCCTGAGGCAGCAACATGGAGGACCAGGGGAAGGGGCAAAGAGCTACAGTCTCAGCAATGCACAGGGGCAGTCCTACCCTGTCTACAGGGTCTCCACGAGTCAATAAACTGACTTGATGGCAGTGAGTGTTGGTTTAGTGGAATAAGACTGAGGCTCTACACTCCCTATTTAACTCTCCTGTGCCCGCGGGTGCTTTCTGCAGGTACAGATAAAGAAGCTGAGAGTCACAGCAGCTAATTGACTTCGAAACTGGAGGCTTGAAAGTACAAGAGCCAAGGTGAAGGTCTGCTCCCCGCCCCCCACCATGGAGCCTGAGACTCAAGCAAACAATCCAGGTGCTATCCACTTGACTCCCGCTCCTGAGCGCTGAGCCATGCGTGTCAGACAGGGCTGGTTCCACAGGGCGTGGACCGGGGGCAGGGGTTCTGGAAGCCCATCTCCAGGTCTTTCTTCAACACCCCAAGGTGGATTTGAACTGCCAATCGTTGCTTTAACAGCCAAGTGCATTCATCATTCACAACCTAAGGACTTCCGGGAGGAGAAATAAATGCGCCATCCTCTCATTCCCAAATGGAAGTGGAAAGGTGAGGCTGAGGGGCACCCTTCCCATGATACTTTGAAGCGAGTCCCTTAATCTCGACTTTCTCCTCTGTGTGCACCTATGTGGACCATGGATGTAAGTGGGAATGAACGTATAATTATTTCCAGGTCAGCAGGGCTTAGGCTCGGCTGGAAGACTGGCTCAGGGTGGGGTGGATGATTGGGTAGACTGATAGATGGGTGCACGATCCAGGGCTGGCTGCATGGTTGTGTGGATGGATGCAATGAGATAAGTAGGTGAGTGTTTGGGTGGGCGCATGGGCGCAGGAATGGATCGATGGGTGGATGGGTGAGCGGGATGAGTAAGTTTATGGTTGGGTGGATGTATGGGTAGATGATAGGCCAGGACCACTCACATATCAAGACCACACCAGAGTCTTCCACTGCAGGAAGGTAGACATGTCATCTCTTCCCACTTAGACTCACAGGCAATTCTCAAGCCAAGACTGACTCCTCAGGAGGCTCAGTGGGAAGCGGTTTAAGAGTCAGATGGATTTGGAAGTCCTTGATGGGAGAGAGGTGTGGTGAAGGATGGGGCACTGCATGCCTGTGAACCCAGAAACCAGAAGGACAGCTTCTACCCCGCACCCGCCACGCCCTGGAACTAGTGGGGTGGCTGAGCCCGCACACAACCCGACACCTCACACTTCCTGGTCCGACCCTACGAACTCACTGGGCTCCTCCCTCACGCGTCCAGTGAGCAGGTGGCATTTTTGTCCAACGTCCACACTAGGGGGCAGGGGACAAGCAAAGGGACATCCCCCTCCAACTAGAGGCACCATCCAAGGTCTGGGCAGACCAAGAGGTGCTCCCACCTGTGCCCACCTGGGGCTCAAGACACTGGATTTCTGTCTCCTGCAACCCCTCTCTCCTTCCCTTAGCATCTATCAATCACATCCTCTTCCGGAGCCTCGTTTTCCTCTGCTTTGAAACAAAGACCGGACTCAGTCCTTTCCTGGGAGGTCATTTGCATAGAGATTTTTATAAAACATCAATTTCTTGCTTAGAAGTAGTGTCATTGACGTATGATTTATCTACCACAGCATGCCCTTTGTTGGTGGTGTTGAACAACAGTGGCTTGTTTAAGCATCTGATTCAGTGATTTTCAAGAAGCGTCCGGCATGATGCAACTGTTACCACTGCCCCATCACTCCCCGAAGACCCCTCGTGCACATCCGCAGCCCCCCCCCCGTCCCCCCGGGGCAACCACCGACCTCCTTCCTGTCAACACAGCGGCCTTGGACGGGGCGTCTGCAGGCACTCATGCGATAGGGGGTGTTCACATTCGGGTTCTTTCCCTGGGCATCACGGTCTTGTGGTCCCACCATGCTACCCTATTTCAAAGCAAAACAGAACAACATAAAAAATCATTCTACATCTCTATGCAAGGATTTAATCTTATATCATCTTAACCTCACATTATCTCCCAAGAAATCGCAGCGTTTGTTTCAGACACTGGATTTGGAGGAGCTTCATTCCAGCTCCCAAAGCTTGGTTTTCAACGTCAGTGCCAGAAAAGCCGGGGTTTTCAGTCACAGGGCGTGTCTGTTGACGGTGTTGGCTGCCTGGTCAATATTCTTGGGCCAATCGATTGACTGCTTCTCCTTCCTATTCTTTACAAAAAGGTTTCCTACCACTGAACACATCTGCTGCCATCTTGTAGGCCATAGAACGAGTCAGCATTAAGCAAGCAGGGGGCTCGCTATGTTAAAAGCTTGGGGGAAAGTCACGCTGCAGCATTTTGGCTAGGGACAGACTAGGAGAGAGGCTGCTTTTGAGCAAAGGGTAAGCCAAAGGACAAACATCAAAGTCAATCCTCAGGCCAGCCCAGCCACATGTCCCTGTGGGCACTAGGGTGCATTTACTCATGCTTCTTTCCTGCCAATAGGTCGATCCCAGCCACTGTACTAGACACTGGGGACACAGAGGGGAACGAAACGTGCTGACCTGCCTCTTCTTCAATGCTGTCACTTAGGCAAATCACCGGTTTACCTCTATGGGGCTCAGTTTTCTCACAGGTAAACTGGGAGGGATGGTGCTACCCACTGCTTACCCCCTCGAATATTCAGCACAGTGCCTGGAACTTAATAAGTAAGTGGCAGCTTATTATTATTATAATTGATGTGATTACGGCACATCCTGTCCTCAGACCATTAACAGCCTTTAAAATTTGACACAGACATGCAGTTAGGCCGTCATAAAACGACGTGGTGAGTGCTGAGCAGCCGTGAGCGCAGGTTAGTATGGGCTCACAAAGTAGGTAGTGGCTGGTTTTTCCTGGAAGATGGGTGAGTCACTGGAACAGGTCTGCACCTGGGCAGGACGAGAACACTTTGAAGCAACTCTGATTATATGCTGTCCCCATGAAGGGGTGAATGTCTCATTCTAGCAGGCCTGTCCCCGGCACTGGCCCTCTGTGTCTCACGGTCATGCGTTTCATGGCTGGTTTTGAAACCTGCCTTCCTTGTTCATGTTGCCACACCTTTGCCTGGCCTGCGTTCCCTCACTGTTCTTTCCTTTCGTGTCTGTCAGTCCATCTGAATCCTTCTTTCAAGATGTGGCTCCTAGCTGATCGATTCCCTCAGGTCTCTCCCACTCACCTTGCCCAGTGGGGCTTCACTTCCTAGCCCCTATGGACCCTGGAGCATCAGAAATAACACGAAGAATCCTAGAAAATGTCTAATCCAACCTCTTGTGTTCCACACCTAGAACTTGAAACCCAGGGAGAGGTGACCTGACAAGGTGGCTCCCCTGACCTCCGGAGCTGTCCCAGAACACTCCTGGTCTCCTCCATCCTCTTCAAGAGGCCTGTTGATCCTGGGCCCTAAACACCCCAGGTCTGAGTCACCATTGTCTTGGTGCTTCTTCCCTGCTTCACTCCCCATAGTCTGTTGTCCTAACCACAATGGAGAAGCAAGCCTCATCACCACACTCCCCTGTGCAGACTCATCAGGGGCATCTCTTGGCCTCCAGATGGAACGCCACTCTTCGTCGCAACACTTTTTAGGTCAGTGCTGGCTAGAGCCTCAACACTCCTGCAGTAACCACCCTCTTGCCTCTCAGAAGCCCACGCGCACGTCTTTGACCTTGTCAGATCCCCGGCCCCCTCCTGCTTACACCTGCCTCTGTCTCTGCTTGGGACACTCTTTCCAACCTGTCCTCCCTCTTCCAAACCACACTTTAACCCGGACAACATCAACTTCTTCTTCTGATCCTATGGCTCTTCTTGTGTTTAGGATAACTGCACAGTAAATTAGGTCCCCAATCTGTATAATTTCTATACAGATTACTCAGTGGTATCGGCTACAGTGTGTCCTTAAAGTCATTCATTCACTTCTAAATGTCCAGTCCCAGGATTCTACTTCCCCCACCTCTTTACCTTCTCATCTTTGCTATAGAGTAACTTTAGACCATTTGGAGTCTCTTCTATTTTGCAGACTAAGTTGCCCTTGACCCCAGTTTTGGTATTTCCCATGGTCTATACTATGCATTGGAAAGTTGGACAGTGAATAAGGAAGACTGGAGAAGAATTGCTGCCTTTGAACTATGTTGGTGTTGGTGAAGAAAGAGTGTTGGAAGTACCAGGGCCTGCCAGAAGAATATGCAAATCTGTCTCAGAAAAACATATAGCTAGAATGCTCCTTAGAATGGAGATTTTGCCTCAGGTACGTTGAACAGGTTATCAGGAGACACCATTCCCTGGAAAAGAGCATCATGTGAGGTAAAGTAGAGGGGCCGCACAATAGAGGGAGACCCTTGATGGGATGGATTGATATCGTGGCTACAACAATGGGCTCAAACATACAGTGATTGTGAGCCTGGCACAGGACCCAAGAGAGGGTCTAGGGCTCACACGCATAGTTCCTGACTGTAGAATTAAGGCCACGTCCATGTTTCAAGTATGGAGGAGTGATCGTTTCTAAAGGAAGACAATGTTTCCTTTGATTTCTGATTTTCCAACTCCCTAAGACTTCCTTCATCATCCGGGGCTCAAATGCAACAATGTAACTCTGTAACGTTTCTTATCTCTTACCAGTGTGGGGACTTTAGGAGGTTCAGAAACAACTCCTCTCCATTGCAAACAGGAAGAGGTCAAGATGCCAGCTTTATGGTGGATGAAAGCGAGGCTCTGCTGTTGCAGTGGGTTGAGCATGGGCTGCTAACTGGAAGGTTGATGGTTCAAACCCATCAGCCATCCTGCAAGACACAGATGAGGCTGTCTGCTCCCATAAAGATGCACAATCTTAGCAACTATAAGTGCTCTGTTCTGTGACTTGGAATAGGTTAGTGCTTCCTGCAGTGGTGGAGCAGTGGTTGAATTCTTGCTTTCTGAACAGGGACGATCCCTTTAAGAGCCCTGGTTGCATAACGGTTATGCATTGCACTGCTAACAGCAGTTAGCAGCTCAAAACCATCAGCCACTCCTCAAAAGAAAGACGGGGCTTTCTACTCTCGTAAAGAGTTACAGTCTCAGAACCCCACAGGGGCAGTTCTGCCCTGTCCTATAGCATCCACTTGATCGATGGCAGGGAATTAGGGTTTGAGGGGTGTGTGTGTGTGTGGGGTGTGTGTGTCAGAGTTTGATTTGTGGACAATCACGTCATGTGCAGCTGGTGAGCTTCTTACTTGCCTGTCAGTCATTGTGTTGTCACCAACAAGGGTGCCTGCTGCTGTGACGCTGAGCAGGCTGACTAGGATGAGGAAGAAAGGCCTGACAATCTATCGCTGAAGAGCCTGCTGATGGAAACCCTGTGGGTCCGACCGACCATTGTGCATGGGGGGCTCACGAGTTGGGGACTGATCTGACGACAGCGGACACCCATCCCAGAGCTTGAGAGCGATCCACATTGAAATGACCTTGAGCTGGGGTGGGAGGTCAAGAACAGGGTAGTCTAGAGTGGTGCCCAAGTAGCTCCTGCCCAGGCGTCCCCACCTCTCCACCCTGCCAGCCACTCAGCGGGGCTCTTTTGAGAGAGAACACACATACACACACACTTGCGGATGACTGATCCTAGTTCCCAGGGTCTGAATCCACATAAAGATATGAAAACTGTTTCCTGAAACATAATACCTGCTCCCTGGGGAGAAAGCTGAGTGCTATCCACTTCCCCTTTATTCATCCTTATCCAGCCAGCCGAGAGGCACACAGGGGAGGACCGGCCGCTGTAAATAGGCCTATTACCTTGACTGGCTTCAGACCACAGAGGCGGCCCTCCTGATGGGCCCTTGGGTTACACAGAAGGCAGTTGAAGCTTTGAAACCCCTGCTTCTCCCGGGGCTAGCCGCCCCCGTGCTAACCGCTGAAAGCAGAAAGGAGACATGAGCAGGATTTATTGCCTTTCTGCACGTCAAAGCCCCAGCCTCAGGGGGGGAGATGAGGCTGGTGCTCCCCGCCGCAGATGGAAGCAGTCGATCAGAGGCAGCGATTTATGAGACATCCCTGAGAGGAGTCCCTCTGGAGAAAGTCCACTTGGAATCAGAGAAGGAAGAGGGGCTGGCCCGTGCCTCCTGACCACAGCCTAGCCCTAATTCAGGCCTGGCCGCTTCGGGAGCAATCCTTTCCCCTGGGAGAGGGAATGTAAAGCCTCTCAGCACAGCGCTGGCTCCCCTGTTTCCACTATCCAAACCCCCACTTTGTTATGGAAGGCTGACCGAAGCAGCACCATCATCACCTCCACGCTTCTCTCGCTCAGGTGGTCCTTTCAGGATGGGAGCCAGGTTACATGAAATTAACATTTTAAAAAATGACAATAAAGAGGAAGGGAAGGTTAGATTGTGGCTTAGCTCATTGGCTGTGATGACATGAACATCCTTTCACTCTGAATCTCTGGAGAGTTCTGCAGGGTTTGTGCATTTGTGCATGGGATGGCGGTGAGCCGTGCATACCAGAGCAGAAAGCAAGGGGAGTAGTAAGGGGGGACCACCTGGGTGTCCTAGAGAAAAGTCCGTCTTACTTAGAAGAGAGGGCAGGGACCCAGAGGTCCTGAGTACCTACTGTGTGCTGGCCCCAGTCCTGGGTCCATCCTACCCAGAATCCCCTTACCTCTCAGGATGACCCGGGGGCAGCTTCTATCACTCCTAATTCTCTCATGGGTAGATCAAGGCCCAGAGCATACCCTGCCCTGCCCAGGTAGTCCTTAGAGAGGAGCCCAGCTGCTGCCTGTGTGACACCAAAGCCCTTCTCCTTCCCATACCTGCTATTTCCAGTGGTGTGCGTGTGTGTGTGTGTGTGTGTGTGTGTGTGTGTGTGTGTGTGTGTAGGGGGAGGTGGCTTGATTTCAGCCTTAGGAATATAGACAATCTGAATATCCAGCTTTATTCTCAAAACCTGTTT